GTGGTTGCCAGTGGCTCAGGGAAGGAAAAGGATAAGGATAAGAAAGTGAAATGGGAATTTAAAGCAGTAAAACTGATCTGTATGATACTGTAATTTTGCTTACAAGATATCATGCATTTGTCAAATCCCATTGAACACACAGCACAAAAAGCAGACCTTAAGGTATGCAAATTTAAAAAAATCATTTAGGAAGGTTAGGGAATCCCAGGGAGAAATGCAGACCGTGAAGAGAAAATCTAAGTGCATTACAAGTGTGTGAAACAACCTCATTGAAGGGAATTAGGGGAAAAGGTGCTGCTCTGAGTACCTTTGGAAATGAGGAGTCTGTAAGATGAAGGCAATAGGAGCTGCATGTGATCACTAGTGGGTAAGGTTGTTTCCCATGCGGTACAGGTTAACAATTCTGATACTCCTATATTTGTGTACTGGGATGGAACAATTCAGTCAATCAATGATAAATGGTGGGAGTGGGAGTTTACAGATAAAAAAGGGAGGAATTTAGAAAAAAAGTAGCAAGTACACACACAATAATGTGTGTGAACAGCTTTGTACATTGAAGGTATTATTATTATCTATACATAATATTTATGCCCTGAAGGTATTATTTATTATGCATGAAGTATTATTCCTTTCACATTATTTCATGCATAATTTGGACCAGGTACTTCAGAGGCAAGAGACCAATCCAAAAGCTCAGAATTTTTTCAGATACAGCTTTTAACAAATTTGTCTGTCTTCCGAAGTGCTCATTTAATTTGTCTAGACTGATTCTGTTGTATGGTCTATAGGAGCTGTGTATATCAGAGAAGCTTATCATAAATACATAAAGCAAAGGAAACAGGTTATTAAGAAAATAAAGTTGAAAAATATAACATTAACTGCTCCTAGGTGATGCCAAAAAGTGTGGGTAGAAAGTAGAAGATTTTTCATATTTTGTTTGAGATACTACTAAATACCTGAATGTTTGCAAATACACAATCACATTTTTAGCACAACATAGACTGAACATCTGGATATTTGAATTTTTCTCTTTCCAGCTGCTAGTGTTGATACAGTATACACATAAGCAAAGCCTCAAAGTTAAATTATTCCCAAATGCTTTTAACAGCATTTAATTAAAAATAAAATTTCATTCAACAACACCCTCGCCACCTTCTTTTATGTATCCTGTTTTTCGTATCTGCAGGAAGTGGAGGAGGGTGCACCAAAAAAGAATCTTTCTACTGCTCTTCAAATCAATAGAAGGCTTGATGAGTAAATACACAGAATTTCAGCTTCAGATACACTGTTAACTTGCCTCAATACACAGGGAAATAATTTGCCACAGATTGAAAATTTGCTTTATTTAAATCAAACTTCCTGCCTATTAATATCTGTGAAACACTAGAACATATTACTGTACCAATAAAGTGTTATCTATTCAAATCTTTTTAATACACAAATACATACATAGTTGCATACATACTTACATGTATACATATATGCCACTGCAGAATCTCCTTTAAGAATTTAAGTAGCAAAATCAACAGTCAATTGATTTGAAGAGAGAAATATGGAGCAAGTGAATTTCTAAGACCCCTTCATATGCCAGGATTCCGTACTTTTACTTGTTCAATTTGTCCACACTCTCCTTCATTGACTTTGAACTGATAGCAGCAATATTTCCTGGAGCCAGGAAATTATAATTTTCTGCTTACCTCTGAGCATCCCTCTGCTCTCCCTCCAGCCCCACCCATACAAATACACACAGACACACCACAAATGGTTGCAGATAGTTTAGGATTTGTAGCGCAAAGGGAATGGGCATAACACAACTTTCTTTCTCTTTTTCTTTCTTTCTCTTTTTCTTTCTTTCTTTATCTTTCTTTCTTTCTTTCTTTCTTTCTTTCTTTCTTTCTTTCATACTGTGTGACTCATTCATCATTCTGTACAATTAGACAAATGAAAAGATTCCTTTGTTTTGACTTGATTAGCAGTTCTTTTCAGATTCATTATGTTCGTGGCTGCAAGAACAAACATGGTACCTTTCAGCAGCATCTTATTCATCAGGAAATTCCTCCTGCCATGATACGTGGGTGGGGAGGACAGGGTGATGTGATCCAGATGCACAGGCTAACCTTTGCCAGGAATGCAGATGTGTTTTATCCGCACATGCCCAGATGGTGACCCCTCTGGCATTATTAATGTGTCCCAGCTGCCAGGCTTCCTCCTTTGCATGCATGTGCCTCAATTTCACATATTTCATGTGTTTATTTATGAGGCACAACATTCCTACATTTCATATGTGGCAGTTATTATTAAAAATGAGAAGTTCTAACTGCTCTGGAAATTGATAAAGAATCTTTTAAATTGCTCTGAAATGTGGCCCTCATTTCAAAATGAGTTCTCATACAATTATTGAATTCATCATGCAAACTTCTGACCTTTCCCTTTGCATGCTGAGAAAACACGGCACTGGGTATCCACTTTAAAGATAGTTAAGAAATTAAATATTTGCAGACACAATACATTATAATGATTTTTTGCTTTCCTTTTATTTCTGATCTCCAAGGCCTATTTTTTTTTAAGTAGCGTGTGTATACATTTGAACATTGTTATTTACTGTTAATTAAATCCAGGCATCAAGTAAGAGAAATTTGGCATCTTCTAGAAATAGGTTGTACTTATAGACCTACAGGGAAAGAACTAGTTTTATAAGAATATAGTCCAGTCATCACTTCAAACTGTAAAAGAGTGTAGCTCCACTGATTAGAGGAAATGGATTAGTCTTGTAAATTTTGGCTTATAATCTAAAGTATAAAACATAGGAGCATGGTAGTTTCACTAAATTAAACTGAACTGAATCTTAACTTTTTATTTTAAAAAAATTCAGCATTTTATGGGGTAGATATAAAAATGAATCAAATTCTTAAAACAAAAAGGTGAAAAATGCAAATGAGAGATGATCAGATTTTGAAAGATGGAGTTTATGTCCATTTCCTCTTTTAATATCAGAAGTAATAAACTAAGAAAAAAGTCAAAATCTATCATTTATCATGGCTAACAATCTCCATGATCAGCTATGGGAAATTAATGATCTAGATACGGAGGAGATTTTTCAAGGGGTTGCACACTTTCATTATCACTATCTTGAGTCCTGGTTACCTAGCATGTGGTTTGTGGCCCTCATGAAAACTACTCTACTTCCTTAAGTAAAGCCTGTTTTTCCTGTTTAGATATATACATCTTCATCTCAATTTCAGAAAGAAAAGTGCAAACTCATTCATTAGCTTTGACGGTACCCACAAAGTAGAATGGAAAATTAAAGCAATGATCTGACTAATTTGGACAGAAGTAAAGAGTATTTACTCTTCCCTGAAAGTACTGCCTGTAATTTAAAGATAAAAAAAGTAAGCTATTATAAGATAGTTTTTCCTGAACTCTCCAAATAGTTACTTCAGATTTGATCTGTGTGTATTTTTGTTCAAATGCATATATATTATAACAATTGTAGTGTTCTCTGAAAGAAGATTTAGAGCCACTCTAAGAAGACTTCAGATCCAGGCCATTTATGAGATGAAGAAATAAAAAGAATAAAAAGCCTGGAAGATGTCTTCTTATTTGACATGGAAAGAAGAATGGCTGTGGCCTTGGGCCTTTTTGGTTTAAATCTTGAAGTTCTATCAAATAATTTTGGTTATTGACTTTGAGACTATTATAACCAAGTTCTTATTAAAGGACCCAAAAATATACTCACAAACTTTTTTTTCTAAGCCACCTCTTTTTATCACGAAGATGAAGAAAGTAAACAAACAAATGACATCAGTCTTTTTTATACTCAGATGACAAACATGTGACCTGCGTGCTCTGGCAACTTTTTCCACATCACTGGCAGACATAACTAACTGATCATGATACTCTTTACTGCTAAACTAAGACCCAAGCTCAGAATCTTCCTCAACAAAGTATTGCCAGGTGCCACTACCTATTAAAGTCTACACCTGAGACAAAACTTCTTTGCCAGCCTCCTCGTATATTGGTGCTGAGCATATATAAGTGGTTAGTCTGAATGTGATAAAACATAAAAGATCAAAGGTTATTGCTATTGTGCTTTTTATAAGGAGGTGAGTAGCTGGCATTAGGCCTGATCTGTAGAGTAAGAGTGTCACTATGGTAACCATAACAAGTCATTGACCTGACAGCTCATCAGCACAGTCTATCCTGCTTCCTGCCAAGTGGGATTGAGGCCAGCAAACTTAAAGGACCCTCTGAAGGCTACTTGGACTCAGGTCAGTGGTATAGGCCACAAAGGGGTTACACACAGAGGGACACGAAAGAGTCTGATCCACATCTGGGGCTGCCTGGACAGGGCACCAATAACTGAAGAGAAAAGGCAAGAAGAAATATGGTGGGTTGCAGATCCAATCATCAGGGACAAGGTAACCCAACAGTTGGGATGCGAGAGTAGCCCTGCAGAACGCAGTGGGACAGCAGGCAAGAGAGTCCCAGACGCTGCTGCATCGACATCACTCCCTCCTTTGCCATCGCAGTGCATTTGCGAATGTGCTGTCATAGTAACAACAGCCACTTGGCTCCCTGTAGCTCAGTACTGCTTCCAGAGCACTTTCCCTGCTGTGATCTCATTTGTTCCCCACCTCAGTCAACACAGGGGAAGAAGACATTGTGTCCCCCGATTTTACCACTAAAGTGCAGCTCATTTGTCCAAAATCACATAGCTGTTGCACCCTAAAGTTCCTTTCATCTGAAATATCTGTAGAAGGAGGTGACAGAAGATGCATATTTTGGATTATTTCCCATCCTAATGTTCAAATAACTGTGCCTTCCACAGCTGCACATGTATAGAGCAGCTTGCAGGTGCGTGGTGAGCCAGGTGCATGTTCCAGACAGGATGGTGAAGGTGGCTTCCCCCCGCCCCAGAGTAGCTCCTGAATCGTGTAATAGTAGATGTGCCATCTGGCCCTCAGTCACTGAAGGAGCCTTTCTGTTTATCTCTCTGACAGCTGGTGACCCTATTGCAGATGTGGGTTGTCCCTTAGTATTTCACAATAAAACTTCACTGGTGGTGGAGACAGGAGAAGATGATGGAAGACTAGGACGTGGAGATCACCTTCCTCCCCACAGATACATCAGAAATACATCTACACGTGGAACTGCTCCTATAGAACACCTACTGAACGCTGGCAAAAGACCTCAGACCTCCCAAAAGCCATGTGGAGGACAGTCTCTTGGTGCTCCAGCCAAGCGTCAGGGCTGTGTCTCTGAGGTGGGAGAGCCAACTTCAGGACACTGGTCCACAAGAGACCTCCCAGCTCCACATAATAACAAACGGCAAAAATCTCCCAGAGATCTCCATCTCAACACCAACACCCAGCTTCACTCAATGACAAGCAAGCTACAGTGCTGGACATCCTATGCCAAACAACTAGCAAGACAGGAACAGAGCCCCATCCATTAGCAGAGAGTATGCCGAGAATCATAAAAAGGCCACAGACACCCCAAAACACACCATCAGATGTGGACCTGCCCACCAGAAAGACAAGATCCAGCCTCATCCACCAGAACATAGGCACTAGTCCCCTCCACCAGGAAACCTACACAACCCACTGAACCAACCTTAGCCACTGGGGATAGACACCAAAAACAACGGGAACTATGAACCTGCAGCCTGCAAAAAGGAGACCCCAAATACAGTAAGATAAGCAAAATGAAAAGACAGAAAAACACACAGCAGAGGAAGGAGCAAGATAAAAACCCACCAGACCTAACATACGAACAGCAAATAGGCAGTCTACCTGAAAAAGAATTCAGAATAATGATAGTAAAGATGATCCAAAATCTTGGAAATAGAATAGAGAAAACTCAAGAAACACTTAACAAGGACCTAGAAGAACTAAAGAGGAAACAAGCAAAGATGAATAACACAATGAATGAAATTAAAAATACTCTAGAAGGGATCAGTAGCAGAATAACTGAGGCAGAAGAACGGATAAGTCACCTGGAAGATAAAATAGTGGAAATAACTACTTCAGAGCAGAATAAAGAAAAAAGAATGAAAGGAACTGAGGATAGTCTCAGGCACCTCTAGGACAACATTAAACGTACCAACATTCGAATTATAGGGGTGTCAGAAGAAGAAGAGAAAAAGAAAGGGACTGAGAAAATATTTGAAGAGATTATAGTTGAAAACTTCCCAAATATGGGAAAGGAAATAGTTAATCAAGTCTAGGAAGAACATAGAGTCCCATACAGGATAAATCCAAGGAGAAACACACCAAGACACATATTAATCAAACTATCAAAAATTAAATACAAAGAAAAAGTATTAAAAGCAGCAAGGGAAAAACAACAAATAACACACAAAGGAATCCCCATAAGGTTAACAGCTGATCTTTCAGCAGAAACTCTGCAAGCCAGAAGGGAGTGGCAGGACATATTTAAAGTGATGAAGGAGAAAAACCTACAACCAAGATTACTCTAAACAGCAAGGATCTCATTCAGATTTGATGAAGAAATTAAAACCTTTACAGACAAGCAAAACCTAAGAGAGTTCAGCACCACCAAACCAGCTTTACAACAAATGCTAAAGGAACTTCTCTAGGCAGGAAACACAAGAGAAGGAAAAGACCCACAATAACAAACCCAAAACAATTAAGAAAATGGTAATAGGAACATACATATCGATAATTACCTTAAATGTAAATGGATTAAATGCTCCCACCAAAAGACACAGACTGGCTGAATGGATACAAAAACAAGACACTTATATATGCTGTCTACATATATAAGTGGGTCTACAAGAGACCCACTTCAGACCTAAGGACACGTACAGACTGAAAGTGTGGGGCTGGAAAAAGATATTCCATGCAAATGGAAATCAGAAGAAAGCTGTAGTAGCAATTCTCATTGCAGACAAAATAGACTTTAAAATAAAGACTATTACAAGAGACAAAGAAGGACACTACATAATGATCAAGGGATCAATCCAAGAAGAAGATATAACAATTGTAAATATTTATGCACCCAACATAGGAGCACCTCAATACATAAGACAAATACTAACAGCCATAAAAGGAGAAATCGACAGTAACACAATCATAGTAGGGAACTTTAACACCCCACTTTCACCAATGGACAGATCATCCAAAATGAAAATAAATAAGAAAACACAAGCTTTAAATGACACATTAAACAATATGGACTTAATTGATATTTATAAGACATTCCATCCAAAAACAACAGAATATACATTATTCTCAAGTGCTCATGGAACATTCACCAGGATAGATCATATCTTGGTGTCACAAATCTAGCCTTGGTAAATTTAAGAAAATTGAAATCTTATCAAGCATCTTATCTGACCACAATGCTATCAATTACAGGAAAAAATCTGTAAAAAATACAAACACATGGAGGTTAAACAATACACTACTTAATAACGAAGTGATCACTGAAGAAATCAAAAAGGAAATCAAAAAATACCTAGAAAAAAATGACAATGGAGACATGACGACCCAAAACCTATGGGATGCAGCAAAAGCAGCTCTAAGAAGGAAGTTTATAGCAATACAATCCTACCTTAAGAAACAGGAAACATCTCAAATAAACAACCTAACCTTGCACCTAAAGCAATTAGAGAAAGAAGAACAAAAATACCCCAAAGTTAGCAGAAGGAAAGAAATCATAAAGATCAGATCAGAAATAAATGAAAACGAAATGAAGGAAACGATAGCAAAGATCAATAAAAATAAAAGCTGGTTCTTTGAGAAGATAAACAAAATTGATAAACCATTAGCCAGACTCATCAAGAAAAAAAAGGGAGAAGACTCAAATCAATAGAATTAGAAATGAAAAAGGAGAAGTAAGAACTGACACTGCAGAAATACAAAGGATCTTGAGAGATTACTACAAGCAACTCTATGTCAATAAAATGGACAACCTGGAAGAAATGGACAAATTCTTAGAAATTCACAACCTGCCGAGACAACCAGGAAGAAATAGAAACTGTGAACACACAAATCACAAGCACTGAAATAGAAACTGTGAGTAAAAATCTTCCAACAAACAAAAGCCCAGGACCAGATGGCTTCACAGGCGAATTCTATAAACACTTAGAGAAGAGCTAACACCTATCCTTCTCAAACTGTTCCAAAATATAGCAGAGGGAGGAACACTCCCAAACTCATTCTACGAGGCCACAATCACTCTGATACCAAAACCAGACAAAGATGTCACAAAGAAAGAAAACTACAGGCTAATATCACCGATGAACTTAGATGCAAAAATCCTCAACAAAATACTAGCAAACAGAATCCAACAGCACATTAAAAGGATCATACACCATGATCAAGTGGGGTTTATTCCAGGAATGCAAGGATTCTTCAATATACGCAAATCAATCAGCATGATACACCATATTAACAAATTGAAGGAGAAAAAACATATGATCATCTCAATAGATGCAGAGAAAGCTTTCAACAAAATTCAACACCCAATTATGATAAAAACCATCCAGAAAGTAAGCATAGAGGGAACTTTCCTCAACCTAATAAAGGCCATATATGACAAACCCACAGCCAACATCGTTCTCAATGGTGAAAAACTGAAACCATTCCCACTAAGATCAGGAACAAGACAAGGTTGCCCACTGTCACCACTCTTATTCAACGTAGTTTTGGAAGTTTTAGCCACAGCAATCAGAGAAGAAAAGGAAATAAAATGAATCCAAATTGGAAAAGAAGAAGTAAAGCTGTCACTGTTTGCAGATGACATGATATTATACATAGAGAATCCTAAAGATGCTACCAGAAAACTACTAGAGCTAATCAATGGATGTGGTAAAGTAGCAGGATACATAATTAATGCACACAAATCTCTTGTATTCCTATACGCTAATAATGAAAAATCTGAAAGTGAAATTAAGAACACACTCCCATTTACCATTGCAACAAAAAGAATAAAATATCTAGGAATAAACCTACTTAAGGAGCAAAAGACCTGTATGCAGAAAATTATAAGACACTGATGAAAGAAATTAAAGATGATACAAATAGATGGAGAGATATACCATGTTCTTGGATTGGAAGAATCAACATTGTGAAAATGACTCTACTACCCAAAGCAATCTGCAGATTCAATGCAATCCCTATCAAACTCCCACTGGCATTTTTCACAGAACTAGAACAAAAAATTTCACCATTTGTATGGAAACACAAAAGACCCCTAATAGCCAAAGCAATCTTGAGAAAGAAAAATGGAGCTGGAGGAATCAGGCTCCTGACTTCAGACTATACTACAAAACTACAGTAATCAAGACAGTATGGTACTGGCATAAAAACAGAAATATAGGTCAATGGAACAGGATAGAAAGCCCAGAGATAAACCCACGCACATATGGTCACCTTATCTTTGATAAAGGAGGCAAGAATATACAGTGGAGGAAAGACAGCCTCTTCAATAAGTGGTGCTGGGAAAGCTGGACAGGTACATGTAAAAATATGAAATTAGAACACTCCTTAACACCATACACAAAAATAAACTCAAAATGGATTAAAGACCTAAATGTAAGACCAGACCCTATCAAACTCTTAGAGGAAAACATAGGCAGAACACTATATGACATAAATCACAGCAAGATCCTTTTTGACCCACCTCCTAGAGAAATGGAAATAAAAACAAAAATAAAAAAATGGGACCTAATGAAACTTCAAAGCTTTTGCGCAGCAAAGGAAACCATAAACAAGACCAAAAGACAGCCCTCAGAATGGGAGAAAAAATTTGCAAATGAAGCAACTGACAAAGGATTAATCTCCAAAATTTATAAGAAGCTCATGCAGCTCAATAACAAAAAAACAAACAACCCAATCCAAAAATGGGCAGAAGACCTAAATCGACATTTCTCCGAAGAAGATATAGAGATTGCCAACAAACACATGAAAGAATGTTCAACATCATTAATCATTAGAGAAATGCAAATCAAAATTACAGTGAGATATCATCTCACACCGGTCAGAATGGCCATCATCAAAAAATCTAGAAACAGTAAATGCTGGAGAGAGTGTAGAGAAAAGGGAACACTCTTGCACTGTTGGTGGGAATGTGAATTGGTACAGCCACTATGGAGAACAGTATGGAGGTTCCTTAAAAAACTACAAATAGAACTACCATATGACTCAGTAATCTCATTACTGGGCATATCCCCTGAGGAAACCAGAATTCAAAAAGAGTCATGTCCCAAAATGTTCATTGCAGCTCTATTTGCAATAGCCAGGACATGGGAGCAACCTAAGTGTCCATCAACAGATGAATGGATAAAGAAGATGTGACACATATATACAATGGAATATTACTCAGCCATTAAAAGAAACGAAATTGAGTTATTTGTAGTGAGGTGTATGGATCTAGAGTCTGTCATACAGAGTGAAGTCAGAAAGTGAAAAACAAATACCATATGCTAACACATATATATGGAATCTAAGAAAAAAAAAGGTCATGAAGAACCTAGGGGTAAGGCGGGAATAAAGTCTCAGACCTACTAGAGAATGGACTTGAGGATATGCGGAGGAGGAAGGGTAAGCTGTGACAAAGTGAGAGAGTGGCATGGACATATATACACTACCAAACGTAAAATAGATAGCTAGTGGGAAGTAGCCACATAACACAGGGAGATCAGCTAGGTGGTTTGTGACCACGCAGAGGGGTGGGTTAGGGAGGGTGGGAGGGAGGGAGATGCAAGAGGGAAGAGATATGGGAACATATGTATATATATAACTGATTCACTTTGTTATAAAGCAGAAACTAACACACCATTGTAAAGCAATTATACTCCAATAAAGATGTTAAAAAAAAAAAAAACTTTACTGGTGGTGATTTCTGTCTATGTGGGGAATGTTCTCAGTTATTTCCAGCTACATCCTCTTCAGCACTACCCGAAAACCCCTCTCAGGGAGAACGCCACAGTATGTATTCCATTCATTCCTTCCCCACCACACCCTTAATTTTAGCCATTATAAAGTATGTTTAATATCCATTTTCCTGATGGGGAGGAGGGTATTACACCTCTTTGACCCTTTGTAGCAAAACTGGAGATTTGTTCTACTGCTGTGCATTCACATTCCTATTTAATGGTGATTCCAACATGTCTGGGAAATTTATTATTTTAGACATCAGCTAGTGAAGGCCTGGAGAAAGAGAAGTGAAGCTATTGTTTAAATTTTTTAGAGCACTATTTGTATGTTGGCTTTTTCCTCAGCATTTTATTGGATCCCATGCTAAGTCACATCACATACATTTTATCATAAAGCAAGAGTTGGAAGTTTGTACTTCTAACAACTACGTATGTATTTTATGTCTGATAAATCATGAGTAATGGACAAGCTATTACTCTCATAACAAATGAGGTTTAATATTCCAGTGCTCACTTTAATTACCATTGCCAACCTCTTGAAATGTATATAATTCCGTCAGATCATTCACAAATCTTTCCAAAGGGCTTATAACCTCATAATGTGTCCACAAGTATGTTCTTGCTCTCTGTGTTCTTGTTCTGAACAAGATCTGAATCCAATCCAGATAAAACTGATGAGATGAAGAGAAAATGTGTAGTGTTCAATGATAATAAGGCAATGTCAATTTTTGATCTGTGTAGGAGAATAAATCATAAGCTTCTATGAAATATTTTTATGATTTTTTAGCCATTCAGGTATTCTTTTTTAATCCTCTAGAAAAGTGGGAGAGATAAATATCAATTTTTTCTTCTACTTTGGAGAAGGAAAATATATTCAGTGAGAGAAACCAGATAAAGAAATGTAAAGATAAAGATTGAAATTCAAATAAATGAATTCTGGTTTGTGAGTATTTTAATTTAATCCCATTTGGGGAAGAGCTTTAGGGTGGTATTAAGAGACCTTCTAAATTGGCCAATTTGGAGTTTTACACAGCCTTTGTAGGGCTTGGTTTATCCATCAGTAAATGGACATATGGTATCCTTTCTCCTTCTTACAAAATATAAGTTGTTTAAAACTTGTGAAAGGGATCTAAGTTTTGGATGAATTGAACTTTACTTGTTTTCATCCCCTGAACATAATCCATATTCTATTTCAATGAGAATGGTTCACTTTTCTACTGTATAATGAATTACCTTAGCTAAATGCTGTACTTCTGTGCACATGAAGAGGAACTCCAATACCAAAAGTACCCACATGTGGCCTCATGGCACTTCACAGCTCCTATATCTCAGATGGCCAAGGCCCATGCTGTCTGCTGCTCATGCTCACCGTGCTCCCACTCCAGCTTCTTCGGGCTGCTCAGCTCCAAGCCCTGACACAGTCTGAGAGCCAAGATGCTCCATTGACATCTTAAGAGACAACAATGGGAGAGGCTCATTAAGGCCCTATTTCTTCCTGGATAAAGAAGCTCCGGTTCATGAGAGGTAGTACACCCTAAGGATCTTTATGGATCGTTGCTTATTCATCATATTATAGGTAAGTCTCATATTAGCTATGTTCCATTTGGAAGTAGAGGATTTCATGAAAAACAAGGAAAGCTGGTTGGAGCAAATTGGCACGGTGCAGAAGGCAAACCCAAGAAAAGTCTCCAGTACCAACGCCATTTAAAAACCGGCTGTTCCGCTCCCAGAGTATACCGGGGCTCCTCTGTGGAAAAGAGAACAGAGAAAAGGAAGTGGGTTTCCTCTCTACTATAGTTGGGTTGTCTGTCAAGCAATATTCAGTCTCAAAAACAGGCCACAGGCCAGCCACAAAGAGCTGGGCTCGATCACATCAACTTCAACTTAAGGCCAAGCTTCCCTTTGTGGAGGCTGCTCTGACACCAACACAATTTCTAATCTAGTACATCTGTGTCCAGTGTAATCTGAGTAGCAAGGAAGTTCTGGGCTTTACAAACTCATACCACCAATAAGCAGGAAGATTTGGGCGGGGGGAGGGAGGGGTACATTTGGAAAACATAACACAACCATAACAACAATATGACATATTGAGTTACTACATTTTCTCACATAATCTTCGGGACTGCTTTAGGATCTGGTGCTACCCTCCTCACTTCATAAATGAGGCAATCACAGTTCAGAAATGTTAAATAGGGTGGCCAATGTCCCACAGGTAGTAAGCCAGGGAGCCCAAAATCAAGCCACAGACTACTGGAATGCAAAGCCTCTGCCCCAAGAGCATGCTGTGGCTTAATTACATCAACCAGCTGCTTTGCACAGAGAAAGCCTGCAGTTTAAACAGTTATTAATCAGACACACCTCTAATGCTGGTACAACCTTGAGATGGGCAAAAAGTACATGTGGAGTTCAGGGAAGCCCACTCTGGTGCTGCCAGTGTTGTGAGGGTTGGAGGGGATATCCTCTCAGAGCTGCCACTTTTCCCACTTTTCCCATCATCACCCTTTTTGGCAACATTAACTTCTGCCTTTATCTCAATGCACTGAACGATGCTCCACAGTGCTCAGCACTGGCAAGTCATAAGGACTGATGGCCAAAGGAGTCACTGTGGCAAAAAGACCACAAAAGCCCTTTCTGGCTCCCTTTGGAGATGACACAGCCTCATAGTGATTTAAGACACCTTGTGCAGCCCATGTGACTTTCCTGCTCCAAGTAACTCTCTATTGTTGACCCCTCTGATGAGGCAGGATTACACCTATAGGAGAAGCTGCTGTCTAGATAACTCTTGTATGTCACTTGCTTGAATTGGAGAAAGCATTTCATCATAGAAATAATTTAAATGACAAATCATTTCTCAGGCAAGCCCACAAACTCCCATTTAAATCATATTTCATAAGGTCCCTTCTAACCAGAACTCAGTGAAGCACAGTATCTTTTAAAATAGCAATGGCCCCAGCCCACACCCACTCCAGCCATCCTGCCTAGGCAGCCCAGCCCCAGCATGCCCTAGGAAATCCCCAGCCCATGCCCACTCCAGCCCTAGCCAGCCTGCCATAGCTACCCAGCACACACAGTCCACACAGGTGTGCTGCTGCACAAGGCCACCTCCTTCAAGACTGGGAGGTAACTATTACACCTAATTCATAGAAACAAATACAAAAGGCCAAACAAATGAGGAGACAAAGGAATTTGAAAGAACAGAACAAGATAAAATTCCAGAAAAAGAAAAAACTAATGAAACAGAGATAAGTAATTTACCCAATAAAGAGTTCAGTTAATGGTCATAAAGAGGCTCACAGATCTTGGGAAAAGAATGGAGGAACACAGTGAGAACTTCAACATATAGTTAGGAAGAGAACCAATCCGAGCTGAAGAATACAAAAACTGAAATGAAAAATACACTAGAGGGAATCAACAGCAGATTAGATGATACAGAAGAATGGATCAGTGACCTGGAAGACAGAATAGTGGAAATCACCCAATCAGAACAACAAAAAGACAAAAGAATTTTAAAAAATGAGGATATATTAAGGGACATCTGGGACAGAATCAAGTATACAAACATTCACATTACAGGGGTCCGAGAAGGAGAAGATAGGCAGAAAGGGACAGAAAATTTTTTTGAAGAAATAATGACTGAAAAATTCCCTAACCTGGAAAATTAAATAGATATGCAGATCCAGGAAGCACAGAGAATTCTAAACATGATGAACCCAAAGTGATCCACATCAACACATGTCATAATTGAAATGGCAAAAGTTAAAGATAAAGAGAATATTTTAAAGGCAGCAAGAAAAAATAAGTGACATACAAGGAAACCCCCAATTTTCAGCAGAAACTTTACAAGACAAAAGAGAGGGGCAGGATATATTTAAAGTGCTAAAAGGAAAAAAACTTACAACCAAGAATACTCTTCCCAAAAAGGTTATCATTCAGAATTGAAGGAGAAATAAAGAGGTTCCCAGGTAAGAAAAACTAAGAGTTCATCACCACTAAACCAGCCTTACAAGAAATGTTGATGGGTTTCCTTTAAGTGGAAAACAAATAGCCATAACTAGACATAAGAAAATATGTGAAAGAAAAAAAATTCACTGGTAAAGGCAAATAGATAGTGAAGGCAGTGGATCAACCACCAGTAGTATGAAGATTAAAGGACAAAATTTGTAAAATAAACTATAACTACAATAAGCAGTTAAGGGATACACAAAGTGAAAAGATATAAAATTTGATGCCAAAACCATAAAACATGGGCTGGAGGGGAGTAAAAATGTAGTACTTCTAGAATGTACTCAAATAAGTGACCATCAGCTTAAAACAAACACACACACACACACACACACATATATATATGTTTACATGTATATGAAACTCATGAACCAAAGCCCAAAAACCCACAATAGAAATACCAAAAAAATAAAGTGAAAAGAACTCTAACCTAACACTAAAGAAAATCATCAAACCACAGGGGAAGAGACTAAAAGAAGGAGAAAGGAACAGAGAACTACAAAAATGACCAAAAAACAATTAACAAAATGGCAATAAGTACATACTTATCATAAGAACTTTAAATGTAAATGGACTAAATGCTCCAATCAAAGGACATAGGGTAGCTGAATGGATAAAAACAACCCAAACCCATTTATATGCTGGCTTCACATCAGATCTAAAAACATACACTGACTTAAAGTGAAAGGATGGAAAAAGATATTCCATGCAAATGGAAACTAAAAGAAAGCTAGGGTAGCAATACTCATATCAGACAAAATAGACTTTAAAACAAAGACTAAAACAAAAGACAAAGAAAGGCATTACAAAATTATAAAGGGGTCAGTCCAAGAAAAGGATATAATATCTGTGAATATTTATGCACCCAACATTAGGAGGACCTAAATACAATATAACAAATATTAACAGACATAAAGGGAGAAATCGACAACAGTACAGTAAGAGCAAGGGACTTTACTGTTCCACTTATATCAATGGATAGATCAGCCAGATAGAAAATCAGTAAGGAAACATTGGCCTTAAATGATTAGATCAGATGAACTTAATAGA